TACTCGTGCAAAAGAACTAGAGTATGAGTATTATTAGGCATCCCCTTTGTCTATATAGAGGCATAAATAATAAATAAATACATTAAACATTAATATATATATAGTTAATTGCATTTTATTTGTGGATTTTACAGTAATTTTAATACTGCTAAAAGGTTTTTATAAATTGCATCTAATACCCGAAATAAAGATGATATAAATTTTTAAAATTGGAATGTTACAAAAGCTTTTAAAAGTTATAAACTTTTATATAATTTTTCTATATTTTAGAATTTAGGAATGTTAACATTATTAAAATATGTTTTTTAATTCCGTTATTTTATAACTATAATTAAGAATTTTTCAAAAGATTTTATTATTGTTTTAATAAATTAAGAAACAAAATTAATAATTCGTTTTAAAATTTTAAATATTTACATATAAATTATTAAGAAATTAAATTTAAAATTATGTTATGTTCTTTTTTAATAACTAAAACAATTTCGTATATTCACCAATAGATGGCACGAAGCATTACAGTATTCCTATAAGTGATTGGATAAATGACGTAATTATACACACATATATAGCGGTATATATACCTTAGTTAACGCTGAGTTTGTTTACAGTTAACATAATTACAATTAAATACGAGTATTTTCTAAAAATATATTAATTTAACCAAGTGTTGGACTAGGTTGAGGTAACCTGTAGTGTAGTCTACTAAAGGTTGTTTGGGAAATTTATTAACCTGTGAAGATCGACACTTTATATAACGATTTTTTTAACTTGTATTATGTAAACTTTTATCTAACTTTTATCTATATGCTTTTGAAATATATCTCGGTCAACTGATTTTTGAGCTAATCTGTATTAATTTTAACTCTTAATAAAATATTAAATTTTATTCACATGTTAACAATATTTTAAAAACAGAAAAAAATTAATTATTCTATTAACTCTTAATGAAGTTTTATGTTAACTGCTTAATTATCAAGCACATCGGTAGTTATTCTGATGTACTATAATCGCGATTACGAATTCATTTGCATAATAAAGAGATTTAGCGTGTTTGAAATATCTTCATTAACATTAATATAAGGCTATTCTTCTTAAGTGTTGTACGCATAACTATTAGAATATGATTTAAATTACTCATTCTAATATAATTCTTTTTTTTTTTATCAATTATTACAAATTGAAGCGAAAATAAATGCCAGTCATTCTTTCCACATCTCTTAATTTTGTGGCCATTTTGAAGAAGGGTATCGTAAATCTTCAGTTATTAATACTTGTCTTGAACTGTCAAGTTAGCCAGATTATTAATTAAACTTTCAATCTACTAAAATTTGATGGTGTTTTCGTATGGTTTAAAGGTTTTTAGCATTAGAAATAACAATGAAAATTTATGTTAGATGAATTATTAAACAGAATTTGTTATCTTAATCTCCTAAATTTATTTTTTCCCCCTTCTTTTTTCCTGCTATGAATTAAAAAGTCTTGACTTTTCTTCTGATTTATACTGAATAAAATTTAAACTAATTTTAGTTGTACGAATTTAATAATAATTTTAAGTTAAAAATATGTCCCGTGTGTCTATATTTAAAATTTTATTTACCTAGTTTGAAATTTAAAGATGTTAAGTAACAAATATCGATTGAGAGTATGCGTTGTTATCAACGTAATTATAAAAGTTATTGTTATAAAATTTATAAACCATTAATTAATAAAACTTGAATATATCAAATTACTTTATTGTTAATTATTGTATTTTTTTATAACGATGATTTTAAGGAATTAAGATATTGAATTTTGATGTTCATTTTTGATCGTGTCATGCTTTCAACTATTTAATTTTTCTCAATAGTGCTATTTAAACTTTTAAACTTGGTAAATAGAACCATTTATTAAATTTACAATAGTTTCTACGATAGAAAAAGTTTTGATAGTCTTAAAGTATTGCAATTGTCCCGCATTAGATCCTTTACATTCGTAGATGACTTACGTTAGTGTCTAGTGTCCTAACTGGTCTCATAAATGTTCAGTGGGAGATAAATCAAGATCGGAAAAGCCAAGGAAGGAAGTGTCACGATGTAGCGGAGACATTACTAGAAAATCTTAGCTATGTAGAGCTGAGTATTATATTGCTGGAAACTGGGTGGCCTACCAGTAACTCCACGTGGCTAGCTCATTGGCGAGATGCGAACGAGCTGGCTACGTGGAGCTTTCCAGTGTTTCTTCACGTTAGTAACACCTAAATAATAACTAGTTTCCCATAGTTTCATGAAAGGAATAAATAAGAAGATGCCATGATTTCATGAACGTACCGTTGTGCTTTCAATATCTCTCGCACCACTACTAAGGGTGATCGACGACTGTCATACAAAATGGCTTCTCTGAGCGTCAGCAAAGTAGGCGGTGTGTAGCTCAACAGTGTCATAATAATATTTTTCGTTAGGGTGAAGATACAGAGGATCAAGAAATAGGAACGGGGGAATTTCCCCATTCGTAAATCGGGGAAATCTGCAACGGATCTGAGACGACTGCCCTGTAAAATTTAGCTAAACAGCCATCCTCTTCTCCGTAGCCCAATAATATGGCAGTTGTCGAATTGGCGTAGTTCAAATTGCCTGCATTGACAGATATGTTCGGCATCCAAAGACTTCAAAATAGCAAGTACACTGAAAATTCTGAATACAGTAGGATAAAGGATACACTTATGATTTTAAGACATTCTGATGGCATTACGTAGCGTGCAATCAGATCGTAACTAACTCAGGATTGTTTACATACCTGTTTAACACATAGCTGTACGTCGAGTTTTGAAGTAATTGGAAAATTCTATTTGGATTCTTATCTTTTTGTGAATGAGTATACACGTATATTGAGCAATACTTGAAGTAAACAATTTAATTTTTAACATGAATTTCGTAAAGAAAACGTCAATCATGTATCATGTAGTATAGTTATAGATAGATTTATTGATTTTTCTATTCTTGTCAGTAATATTTAAATAAGTTTCATTAAAAAACAGTTACATGACATTTTTATAATTCTGTACTGAACGTACTGTATTAATACTTTAAAGATTTATAAAATAAAAAAAATCGTTTACTCATTGATTTAATTGTTAAAAATGTTTAATCTCTGTCCAGTTATTTCTTCTATTTTTTTTTTTCTCTTCTTTTTTTTGCGATTTAATATAAACGGCAAATATTACTACTTAAAACTAACTTTATTTTGTTCGTGTTATATATAATAATGTAGATAATTATTTTATTTATTCAAGTTGTTAAATTTGTTACAATAATTTACTATAAACTGTGTAAATAGAAGAGCAATTGAGCTTCAAAAATGTAAATTATTATTTTTATTTAAAGAGATAGGATCTACTTATTGTTCTTACAAAATTTCTTACAGAAGTTATCAATCATGTATTAAAAGGATCAAATTCAATGTTTCGTTTCCGATTAACAACACCTTAAACTTTATTATTAGGGGAGACCGGGGCAACTTCGGCATACGGGGCAAGTTTGTCAAGCGCTTTTTTTTAAAAACAAATTAAAAGGAGACTTTGGTTATAGGTTAGGCAGTTGAGTTTTATTGGTGGCTTGTTGAGTGTAGTGTTTTTATTGTTCTCCAACAAGCGTAGTTGAATTATCAAGCAAATTTTCATTTTCGTTCAATTCCATATAATATTTTTTTTCCATTTATATTGAATTGGCAGGTTTTGTTATAATTCCATGATAACGAAAGTTACTTTTCCTGTTAGAAGGATGTAACTTCAACTTATTCACGTGGCCAGATCGTGGCTTGGCATTCTGTTCTCAGGGTTGTACTTAATGTTTCGAAATCATGACTAGCGGGGTAAGATCGGCAACATAAAGCCACATTAGAAGCAAAGGATAAAAATCAAACAGATGATAAATGAAAACATGTTTGCATTTGTTATTCATGTATATATGTCTTTGAACTTGCATTTCGTTGTAATAATATTAAATGGGTGTTGGATTTGTATTTCTTTGTTTTAATAGTGAATTCCAACTTATACATTGTTAATAACATAATTTTATATACGTGCCTATCTTGCCCCATTACTGTTGCCCCTATACCAGGGGCAACTTTAATAAAAATAATTAAAATAATTACAACTTTACAAAAAGAGAGAAGTTGCCGATCTTGCCCCTATACCCGGGGCAACTTCGTCAATTTCTCTCTTCTTGTAAAGTTGTAATTATTTTAATTATTTTTATTTCCAAACTGATTTTAACCAGTTCTATAGTAAGGTAACATTCCAATAGACAATATGCAAAGCTTTTTTTTCAGTTTACAGCAGTATTTATTACACAAAATTTAAGTAAAGCTTAACATGCCGATCTTGCCCCGGTCTCACCTATATATGGATCATTATAAATAAATAAAGAAGATTCTATATTAAGATATAAAATAAATGTAAAATGATCAATTCGTCTGGTATTAAAATTACTTTTATGTAAAAATATTGATTTTCAGGATTTTCTCTTTTTTCTACAGCAGAAGAGAGACAAAAACTTGAGACTGCTGCCTGCTACCTGATAATATTTAATATAAAATGTTGTAAGTTTAATTTTGTTGCCATTAATTTTCAGTTATAAAAGTATATTATCTGTTCTTCTTTTAATAAATACATATATCTATATGTAAAATATGTATACATTTGGGCACTACGCAATTTTCAAAGCAACATACCGTGTTCTGAGATCCCTCAAATGGAATATGATCTTCCTATAAAAAAAAGATTTTTCACTCCTAGATTTTACCTTATTCTAAAGTATTTCTTAAGAAAATTATTAAAATAATAATAATTAAAATATTTTTTTACGTTTTTAAGTTGCTGTTGAAATTCATTATTGAGTAAAAGCAATAGACTTGTATCGACTTTATTTACTAATATATTTTTGTTTTGTTTAGTGCAAACAGGAAAAAAATATGTTATCATTAGTCAAAAAAGAAAGAAAAACCAAAGTAAACATTGACATCACACCGATATTTATTTATTTTCTAACAACAAATACAACAAAAAGCCACAAAGCTTCATTTCCAACCATCTAAAAATAAACACGTAGCCCCAAATAATTTCTATTAATCGATTGTTATTATTGTTGAACCGATTAATAGAAACAACCATGTTCATTAATAGATAGATGATTTGTTTTTATAAGGTTTCACTACATTTTTACAACATTTAACAAGATACTTTTAAATCTTGCATATTTGATTCATACAATAACTAAACTTGAGCAAATTTGTACTTTAACGACAAAACATTTATTTTTATACATTTAATATATATTATTTCTACTCATCATTACCATTATTACCATTATTACCATCAACGATCTGTAAGAGTACGGCTCCGGTTTCGATTACGTACTTAACGCTAGTGTCTCGGCCTCTGGTTTTCCCGTCTTTGGCCGAATTGATTCTTGAAAGTAAGGTGTCCTGCATACTTTCGTGCCCATTACAAGTTCTTTCTTGTTTGATACTATCCGGTCTCCTGGTTGCCACTGGCGGATTGAAACAAGGTAGCACTGTTTTGAACTCCTTGCGGAAATTCTCATTAAGCCAAGCATAAAGGAAAGGATTATAGCAAGTAGAACTCATAGCAGCTGCGTGAGACAAAAAATAAAAAGCGCTGAGATACTTCCATTGAGCGGCAGGTATATAAAAGTCGACAACCAAATTATAAACGTTTAGAGGCAGCCAAGATGCTCCAAATATCATAACCATTGATATTAACATTCTATTTGTCCTTCTTGTTCGTTCTCTTTCCATTTCTTCTTTTTTTAGCGACTTTGCACCCGGTTTCGTCCGAGCGCGATCTCTCAATTTAAGACAAACCCTCAAATAACAAAAACTTATTATTATAAAAGGGATAACAAATTGTAATATCGAGGTGGAAAAACCAAATGTTCTGCGTATAGATTCGTGAGGCCAAACCTCGTCACAGTAATGTCTTCCATCTTCACCAGTCAAGTGATCCATGAAGATGCCATAAGGCAATGTTAATAAGGCCCCTGATACCCAAACGAGCACAATAATAGAAAGACATAGATTTATTTGTAAACGAGGTTTGAAGGGGTAAATTATTACAAAAAACCTATCAATGGCTATCGACATTAGTGTAAATGCTGAAATATATACACTAACGCCTTGAGCATAGGGTACTAAGTGGCAAAGTATTGCACCAAAGACCCATTCACTCATGAAAATATACAAGGGAGTAAAAGGAACTGCAAACGTGCAGAGAAGGATATCGGACAAAGCCAAATTAGTAATGAATATGTTAGTTACAGTATGCATGGATTTGTTTCTAAATACCACGTAGCAAACTAAAACGTTACCACAAACTCCTATAACGAATATAATGACGTATAGACAATAAAAGAAAGCTTTAACTGCTGGTAGATTAGTGACATAATCGATAGGTACCGCGAAGTTAGGTTTAAAACTGTCGTTAAAACCATCCAGCGTAAAGTTAAGTAGATCTGATGAAAAATTACCGCTTCGAACAAGTGCTGCAAGAGCGATATAATTGTTGATCTGAAATCCGTTGGTGATATGGATTGTCATCTCTACCTCTTCATTATAACTCAATCTATACCAGACTTTTCATTTCCATCCTCTCTCTTAAGCTCTCAACTGACAAATCTGCAAAGATATAATAAGAAAAATTTTTAACTTTTAATATCTTTACATCATTTTAACAAATTTTATTTCATATTTTTAAATTGAACAAAAAAACCTTCTTTTTTATAAATTGTTTAAATATATTTTATATTCACGAAAAACTATACAATTAAATATTTTTATTATTAATTTCATAGTAAAATTACGTGAATTACTAGGAATAACGGTCTTAGCATTATATAAAATTTATATGGTTTATTTAATTTATATAGTCCACTTCTTGGAAGCTGTTGCTTGTTAATTGTAATATATACTTTTACTCTTTGCAATAATTTAGTTGGAAGTGAATAGGCTTTACGTGAAAATTAGCTTTTATTAAGTTTTTCTAATATTTGTTAAATATTAAATTTATTTTTTTTTAAATTAATATCTAAATATATCATTCTGAAATTAATGAGATGATTTTTATTATTGTTAGATATTAAAATATTTTTCCAGTAAATCATTAGATGAGAGGTATTATTTTTAATGAAACCTTTAACAATAAATAATTAAATTGTGAAATATCAAATGACATTCAATTTTTCTTGAATAAAATATTTAAAAACTGTTTTAAACATTAAATTTTAAAATAAACATGCAAATTTATATACAAAATCTATAAGCTAATTTATATAAACTTATATATTTACATAAGCTTGTTTATATTTATTTTAAAATGTATTATAATATTATCGTAATAAATATTTAAATATTTATTACGATATATAAATAAATATATAAATAAATAAATGTACAATACGAATAATATTTTAAAATAATTATTCAACGACTATAGGGTATTATTATGTATATACAGTAGACTCCCCCCCATAACACGGTAGATAATTCCGTCTTATATGAATTTCATGTTGTACGAGTCACATAGATTTTACAAATATGTGTGCCGGACTGTGAACGACTCACGTATTTGTAAAATCTAAGTGACTCGTACAACACGGAATTCATATAACACGGAATTATCTACCGTGTTATAGAGGGGGTCTACTGTATACACTACAAATTAATCAAAATTACGTAAAAATTCAGAGTTTATGTGCATAATTATTTAAAGAAGACATTTATAATTTTCTTCTACTTACTTTAATAAATTTTTTAAAATAATATTTTGAGAAATTATACAATCAAAATATTTTTTTTTTTTTCGTATAACTTATTCAAATAATTTTGCTCATTTTGAATTCTTCATCTTTAAATTTTGAAATTAAGTTTTGTAGATATGTATGTAAATATTGCAATTTATCTTTGCATTAATGTGTGTTGTAGTAAGAAATTACTTCAGTGTGTTTCCTTTGTTTACAACCAGTAATTATTATATAAAACGTAATTATAAATAATAATTTTTGATTTCAACACACTCAGGAATACAACGTCTTATAAATATATATATATATTGCATTCCTTTTTATGTATTTTCAATTAACTTATATATATAAAGGATGGACCAAAAGTCAGTTAACTAAGATATTATTTTTAAGAATAATCAGGACAATTGTTCCCTGTAAATATTAAAAGATAAACAACAAAAATTTAATTCAAAAATTATTATTAATATATTTTAAAAAAAATAATACACCCGTCTAAATCTATATAAATTAATAAATTTATCTTAATTAAATTCATGCCTTTGTGATTTATGTCTTTCGAAAATGTTCGTATATATATTTTGTAAATGTCGTGAATTTGTTAACGTCAGTTATCGACGTTTAAATAAATTCTAAGAATTTCGAAATAATAATTAAGCTTTGAATTTTTAACTTTTAAAAGATTAAAAAGAAGAAGAAAAAAAAACAAAAATTATCGATTCAACAATAGAAAAAATAAAAGGTCTATTTTTTCTCTTTTACGAAAAGTTAATTTCAACATAAACTAAACGGAGAGATTCTTAAAATTAAAGATCAAAAATTCTTGCTACATTTAATTTCAATTTTTCGCTTTAACGAATCTTAAGTCATCCAACGATAAGAGAAAATGAATACAAATAATAATATTAAACTACGAGATATCAGTTGTTGTTAATGAAAATTCACTTCTGTTATAATGTAAATTATAATTCTTTTTTTTTTTAAAAAAAGAACAATTTCCCATTCATTTATTCAATCAGAAATTATAAATGAAGAGAATTCCATTATCGTTTACGGAAATGAACAAAAATAGTTTTTAATTTATAAACAAATAAACTTTTCGAAACAATTATAGTATTTGTTAATATATTTAAACATTATTTTGAATAAAAAAATTTATTATAAGTAATATTTATATAATAAATGTTAGCAAGGAATTGTAACGAAGGACATCTAAGATTTGCCCTTAGCATATACAAGTCCGTATGACATTTAAAGGGTTTTAATTATTTTAAAAGAATACTTAAAAGTATATTTTAATACAATATTTTTATCTTTTGATTTAACTTTAATTAATTTCATTAAATAACTATTTATTCCTACACTACGACTATTAAAACATTCAATAGTATATTACTGTATTACAGTAAATCTTCAGGACAATTGTTATTTTCTTATACGATTATATAGAAGAACAAATTGACAAAATATCTCTCAGTATCTCTTTAATAAACTCTGGATACTAGCATTATTGAGCTATGAACAACTCAATGAAAGAGCTCTATTGTATTGTTATGTCAATGAGATATTTATATAGTTCAATATATAACTTATTATTATCTATTCTATGCACAGAATACTTTGATATAAAATCAGAAAATATTAAAAAGAAAATTTACTTAATAACAAGATCTAATGGAAAAGTTTAATTATGTAGAAATTGAAGCAAATTATTTTACTTATACTTTCGCCTGTATTATGTTACTGATTTAAGATTTAAATAGTAAATTTAATTAATAAAGTTCTTTATAACTTTTATGCAAAGAAAAATATTTTATGAAATAAAATAAAAAGTAAATATTTAAATGTAATATTGGATAAAAAATATTAAAAAAATACTTCTTTTGGGAAGAAAAGATTTTACCTTATTTATTTTTTTTCTTTAATATTTATTTTCTCATAAACAATGTCTAAAACTGTCAGAAAATNACGAATGCTTTTTATGAAAAAGTAGAGATTGAAGAATTGAGAAGAGTAGAAATTTTAAGAAATTCCAGAAGAGTTGCTAATATTTCTAATATAAAGGAGTTTATACTATCTGTTGTAACATAAAGAACAACAAAACAAAATTTCACCTAGAGTGGACAAAAATAGTAGGAGTTATAGAGAATTCACTTAAATACTGTACACATAAACAGATTTAGGCCTTTATATTGAAATAATAATAAAATCTTTCATTACAAAATTTCTATATACACTATTGTCTTTTAAAAGATTTCTATGCTGTCTTTCTTTAGTAATAGACACGTTAATATTGTTTCAATGATTGACATTGTGATGCTGTTTCTGCAGTCCTTGACATAGTCATTGTCAATCTATTTTGCTCAAGTCAGACTTCATGGCCTTTAGGGGGGTCTCAGTTATTCTTATTTTTTTAGATCTAGAATTTACCTGACCAACTTTACTCTTATGCTTTCCCCTAGGTTTTTTTTTTTTTTTTTAAATAATGATAATAAGTTAGGTGATAACATAGATGTACTGTATATATCGATGCGTATACGTTTTATTTAGATTAATTTATAAAAAATATCTATGTATAAATCCATTCCAGATAATGGTACCTTAATATACTACCACATGATAGCAATACATAATTAAGAGCTATTTATATAAACTTATTCTCATTACAATTGATACTGTAATATAATAATTCTTGTTACTAAGATAAAATAAAGTTTAATATTCTTAATTGAAAATTTCATATCATACTATTCTGGTCAATATCATAACGAAAATAACTATACCAATCGATAAAAAGAACCGTAAACGAACGTATATATCGTTTTGTTGATTCAATAATCTTGCATAATACAAATAATCCTATAACATTAAGAGTATTACACAAACAACGATACGAAATGCAGTGGCATAATAAGCATTATCATGAAAAATTGGACGGCAGTTATTGAAGATCCCGAAAAAATGACATCTTGAGCCTCTCTAAATGATATATAAAACGAAAGCAACTCATTAAGAGGGAAAAAACACAACGTGTGTACTCCTTATCAGCTCAGGCAGACAAAAATAAACAAAGTCTAAATTCGAACTTTATCTAATTGTTGGATACTGAAACACTATTGTTATTTTCTATATGAATTTAAATTCTTATCTTCGTTTGCAATTATATTATTTTTTTATTTAATCTTATTTTTATATTTAAACAATTTATTAGGCTTAATTGTATTTATTTAACACGGTATTATTTATAATATTATTGTTTTGATTTCATTACTTTATGTATTTAAACCTCAATATAGAGTACCTACAAATAGTATAATTTTTGTAAAGGGCCAATGATAACTGTTTTTAAAAAATAGTGAATAGAGAACGTTTCAGGATTTGTGAATTGGTAAATATACAATTTTGCATTGCAAACGATATTCTTATTACCAAACTCACCCGACTTTTAAACTCAAATTCGTATGTAAATATCATTTCTATTGTTTCGGTGTACAGTAGGCTAGTTCGGTTTAACACCCCCACTCGATTTAATATCAAATTTAAGGGACGAACAGATGGCGATGCTAAATCGAAGTTTGACAGTAATTTTGCATGAAACTCGCCCGTAATCTTTACCAGAGAGACTATTATCCATTATAAAAATTTTTATTAAATAAATTATTGTAAACTACAACGTTATTCTTTATAAACTTGTTCTGTTTTTTTTTTTTATTTTAGCAACAACAGATATTTTTAAGAGATGAAAATAAATTGATTTATGCAAAGAAGATATATATTTTTTCCTATCAATGTTATATGTATTTCAGTTTATCGCATTTAGATGGCAAATATATGAAGTCGATAAAAAGAGGATGAGATTGAAGGGAATTATTTCTT